CGCGGAATTTCCGTAAATCTGCTGTACCCGCGTTCGTAATTTCCCGGGTAAAACCCGCAAATATACGGCATCAATCGCGAGTCCCCCTTACTGCTGCTAATCGAGATGCACCCTAATTTTTGTACCTTGTTAGATGTTTTTATAGATTCTTCCTGAAAAGCAAATGTTTGAAATTGTCATACATGGGGCGATGCTTGTTGATTGGGAGTTTCCAAGGTAAGTAGCAATATATAAACAAAATCACGAGATGTTTTTTCTTTAACTATTTCACACTGGGAACGAAGAAACAATCTGCAAATAACTATTGAGGTTATTTTCAAAGTCGATTACTTAAAGATGTCGCCCGCAGAGTTAAATCTATCGACCGAATAGAAAAAGGCATCTAGCAAACGATTGATGACCGACATTGACGTATCGATCGAAATCTGCCAAAAGGACGTCCTAGACCAAAATCACACTTATTTGGGCGAGGCTTCTTATTCCTTATAATAAATGCAACAAATTAGCTTATTAACTCTCATAATATAGTAATAAGCAATTATTGGATGAGATTGAGCATGATATCGTAAATTATCAAGACCGAGGCTGTGTTATCTGCCGAAGCCGAAGGCTGATTAATATTGTTTTATACTCTTAAATAGGCGTGGCTGTTCTACMGACAGATTTGCTACCGCACCAACTTTATTTAGGCTAAGACTTCCCAACGGGCTTTTCAAAATCCAATGTTATGTATAAATATAATATTCTGCCATAGCAAAATTAAATCAAGGGTCATTTGGTACACGACTTATTTATAATTTTTTGAAAAATGAAACCATTTTGAATCCAATGCGAGTTCTTCAAAGCCAGAACAGCTCTTTTTAAAACCAGTGATTTTCTTTCATCAGAAGGTCATTTCTTTTCACTGCTGTTTAACGCTGTTATACTTATATGTGTTTTTGTTGGGCATACCGTACTGTGAATTTAATTAAAAACCCTTTTTAGCATCCAAGAAAAGCCCAGCAGTCACTCACAATTACGTGGGCTGCGATTGGTGACTTTTTCTTATTCCCAAGAGAGACATACCCATGAGGATAAAAACAGTCTTTGTGCACCTGGTACAATATTCAAGAGTATTTAAAGTGCAATATTTGTTCTGAAGAAAACAGTGCATTGGTAAACAAAAAGTGAAAAAAATATGGCTTTTAATCGAATTTTAGTTCCAGTTTTGCATGGGAGAAAAACATTACACTAGAGTAAAAAGGTCTATCAATATTACTTTKACTKATCTGTTGAATATACCATTAAGACCTAGTTCATTAAGCAGCCTTATTGCAATTCAAAATAATGACAATTTAGTTCGTATTAATATAGTAGCATTGGCAAAATATACAAATAATAATAGCTTGAGCGGTAGATGTACAATATGTACAATAAAGGTGTCTAGGAGATGAAAATAAATGCTATTCCAAGCGACACCGCCGATGGAAAACGTGACACACGGGCTAGGAAAATTAGCCTGAAAATGGGTTAACCCTAATCAAAACTGATGCAGCATAATTTTCATAATTTATATTGAATGTCATTATACACTCTTACTGGAAATTATATATTGGAAGTGTCATACAGAGTATGTGTATTTCTTAACGCTGACTTTCTAATTGWGGAATGAGTTCACACTGCGAACATAGATACCATCTGCAAATCAGGTTTTTTCAAAAGTCGATTTATTTAGTCAAATCCGTCGTCTGGCCGGATAGTTAAATTTCATTGACCGCGAAGGAAATAAGCATCTGAGAAGAGTTCGATGACCGGCTTTGACGTGCCGATCAGAACTGTTTTGACAAAATGCCATACTACGATGACTAAATAAAGAACAAGATGAAGAAGAATACTAAGCAATAGAAAAAAGACTAATTTCAGAAATCTATCGCAAAATGGAAGACATTCAAAATAACAGTTGCACAAATGAAAATGGCGTGTTTGGTAACTCTTATCGYTTAGTAATGTCGTTTACGTACTCTGTTTTAGCTCTGGTAACAACAGTTTTAAACGTTTTGATCCTCATTTCCATCTGGAAGACACCAAGCCTTCACAAACCTTCCTACATCCTGATAGGAAGTCTTGGTTTTTCTGATCTCATCGTGGGTGCCCTTGGTGAACCACTCATGGTCTTTCATTTTATCGCTACCCTTAAATGCTGGCCCTTGAACATTTACTGTCTACTTTCCAAATGTGTCAGAGGTGTGGGTTACACAATGGGCGCAGTTTCTTTGTTAACTCTGACGTTCATAAGCTTGGATCGTTTGCTCGCCGTTAAGTTAAGAAACCGATATCAAAGTGTCGTAACTAAGAAGCGTGTACTCTATACAACACTGGTATGTTGGATGATATCGTGTGTTGTTTCAGGAATAGTGTTTGGTAAAGTAAGATGGAATGCTACACATATATTACCTTTGTTCCTCTTTGCTGGAATTGGAGCTCTTTGTTCAGTCTTAACCATCACCGTTTGCTATTCAATGACCTTCTACAGCTTACGAAAGATCACCTCGTCCTCCGTATCTCCAAGTGTCCAGAACGAAGAAGGGGTTGCACGTCCAAGTCCCAACATTGATGTCGTCAAATACAGAAAATYGTTTRTMACTATGTTYGTWGTTTTTATTTTTACCATTMTTTTTTATATGCCATTGGCTTGCACTTTAATTGCTTACRGYATTGCATCTTATCACCAAGTTTCAAAGACATCTTTAGACATCATTTCTATCAGTATTAACTCAGCCGAGCTCATCGCACAACTTAATTCGGCGGTAAATCCTCTTCTGTACTTGTGGCGTCTTCGAGACATTCGAGAAACAGTCAAGACAATAGTTAAAACACTGTTTAAAATATTCTAGCTTTTGCCATCACCTTGTTTTTAATGGTACCGTCACCGCTTCAACATACAATCTCTGAAACCTTTGAACCACAGGGCGAAAGAGATGCCTTATTTCACAAGACCCAAAGAGTCAAAACAATTTTTAAAATATTCTAGTTTTTGCCATAATTTTCTTTGTAGCGGTGTCGTCACCGATTCACAATACAAAGTCTGAAACTTTTGAACTACAGGCTAAAAAAGATACTTTGTTTAACAAGAGCATAGTCAAAACAGCTTGTGAAATATCATTTTTACTTTTGATGTATCCTATATTCTCCCATCTTATGTTGTAAATAATTTGTTCAAAAATTAGAGAACCACGCTGGCAATCTCTCCGTATCCCCTTTTTTTTCTTTTCGTTTTTGGGATCGCCGTTCGTTAAATTCTTTAGAAAATAGCTTTTTAAGAAGGTTTTCTAATTCCCATGTGCTTAAAGTGTACAAGAACCCTTCGAAAATACTTTCAGTGTTGATTCTAAACATAGTTAATGGAAATGAAGTAAATACAGCTGAACCGGTAAAATATTTCTTGATTTGAGCGATTATTCTTTTAGTTATGAAGGGTTTATACTTCCAATATGTTAATGACTATGGAGTCGTTGCATTTTAGGAACCCAACAGATTTCTTCGTGGGAATTCTCTGCCTGGCTTTTTGTTAGCCTCTTTATAAGTTTAAGTTCAGTAGCATCTAAGTTCTTCCYAAGTTCACATTAGCATGAATACTCAAAAAAAGTGTGATCGCCCGGGTGAGTGTAGTCTTGAGAAAGTCTATTGTTGGTGGTCAGGGTGACTGGCGTCTCGACAACCTAAATGGTGGTCACCTTCAAGGTACCGTGAGAAAGCTAGTTTTAACGCTTTCGCGATCGTCGCGGATGAAAAGACTCATTCCACACACATTTGATATATTAAAATAAGTAATTGCAAACGACCATTAGACTTCAAGATGCCACACGAGAATTTTCTGTTTGCAAAGTGTCAAGATGTCATTACGAGAAGAATTTTGTGTTTGGTAGTGTCGTCGATTGTGCGGATATCGTTTGCGATGATCTATACTCCAGTTTCTGACATTTTAGGAACACAGCAAGTCCTTCAGGGAAATTCAGTGAACAAAGAAATATTTACCATTGACTTTCTTTTTAATCGACTCTTTCATTTYATTTTATTTTGCTTCTTTTTTTCATTCCTTTTTTCCCCCTTCATTCGCTCGTAAATTGCATTATTAACAGTCATAATATATATGTATATATATTTAAATAGAATATTTGCTTTCAAATAGAATTTTATGTTTATTACGACTTTGCGTTTCCCGTTTTAATTTGGGATGATGTAATGCAGTGAAGCATGAGATGGACACGTGACTGGGGACTCATAGGAATTTTTGACCTGACATTCCCATAGCAACCTAGCATCTTGCATGCGTCATTCTTCGCCAACCTTCACCAAGCTTGAACACACTTCTGCTTTCCCTCCGCCTCCCCGGTCACCTGTCCATTTTTATTTTTCATGAGGAGAGTAATAATGGAGGCGTTTTATTTGCCCTCACCTTCACAGGGCATTACTCGAATTACTGTTATCAGGGTTTTATCGATCCCTAGTATTTTGCATATTTTCCATCATTAAAGCTCGGCTGTAGGTTTGACCCTACAGCCATTTCTTGTTTTATTCGTCTCTGCCCAGTAAACATAGCTCGGATAATGCAGCTTTGATAAGTTTTGTTACTTTGTTGTAAGTAGATAAACATAAAAACGCTTATGAAGAGCGGCTAATTTCAAAACACTTTCTAATTTATTTCACAGTAGTGGGGTTTTAACACATAAGTGGAAATATCAATGTCATATGGAAAATGTTAGTTTAAACATTCCGACAACAAATATCCAGATTTATACTTTTCTTTCTAAAACTAGACGTCCGCAGTGGCGCTTACTTAAGCATTTATGGGGGGGGGGGGGGGGGGGGGGGGGGGTGCACGTGCACCCTGTGCTCTGGAGTGCTCTGGAGTCCTCTCGGTCCAGAACAAGAAGATTTACTTCAAAAAGCAACCAACGATTTGCATATCCGAGTAAAGACAAGTTGATCGATGAACAATATTTCAAAAGGAATTTATAGAAAAGATCGGCTTAAAATAATATTTTCTGATCTTGTCGCGTTTGACTGCAAAATGACAAGTTGTGTGACAGGCATAACGCAACACTGTTCATGATAAGCGCAACTCTTTCCACAGGTAGCCCAAGCTTGGTTTNGTTGTAGTATACATTTATACATTTATACAAATACCTAATGAGATGCATATTGCAATTTTACTTTTTTAACCCTCAAAACCAATTCATTTATAATCTGTAGGATGTAAAACACGAGAATAAAATATTTTGACGTTCATTGAATGAAACAAATAATAAATAAATCTAGTTTTCTGTTTTGCATATCATTAAATATACTGAATAAATTAGGTATTTGTATAAATGTATACTACAACCTTCCTGCAATCAAGTGTATATATATATATATATATTAACACTTATGAAGAGCGGCTAGTTTCAAAACACTTTCTAATATATTTCATAGTAGTGGGGTTTTAATATAAACTTAAAACAGTTTTATTCATAAACACATAAGTGGAAATTTCAATGCCATATGGAAAATGCTAGTCTAAACAATCTGGCAATTATCCAGAGTTTTACTATTTTTTTAAGTCTAGATCGACGCCCGCGGTGGCGCTTACTCGAGGTTCTTCCTCGGCGAACTGAAGAAAGCCTTCACCGAGTTTCAAGTCATTTTTACTCGTTGGTTCTCATCCCTATTCACTGATTATGATATAGCACAATGCTATAAATGGATATATAAAGCATAAAAAGCATATTCAAGTGTTAACTTTGATTTGAAGGAACACAAAGTAATGCCAAAGGGCAATCGACAGACTTCAATGTTTTTCGAAGTGCTTGCAAACAGTGAACTTTGCATGTTGATTTCTTCCCGAAAAAAAGATGTGATAGAATAAGAGCTCAAAAATTTACCAAAGAACAAAGCGAATACCAATTACAATCATCAAGAACAAAGACGCCTCCACAGGGAGCCCGGCTTGGTGATGCTAAATCGGTAAAACGATCACGTTTCATATATTGATGACACTACATAATAATCGTAACTCAATACACCCATATACTGAAACGGTCACTACGTAATAGAACTTGTAATGCAATAGTGTTACGTATTTGAATTTGAATTTATCACGGTATTAAGTTACGCGTTACAAACACTGGTGTTCTATGTGACCGTTTGTATATGGGTGTATTGAGTTACGATTATTATGTAATGTCATCAACATATGAAACGTGATCGTTTTACCGATTTGGCATCACCAAGCTGGGCTCCCTGTGACGCCTCTACTGACGGTGAAATTAGATACACAACACATACTATCGCATGTTTAATAACATCAGTGATTTTATACGCAATATCTAATTGTACTTTGCATTTAACGCAATAAAAACAAACAAAGGAATCAAGATATTTAGTGTAAGAGTTACATTAAAAACTACTTTTCCAGTTGTTTGGTACRATATATTTTGCTCTGTTCAATATGGCGACTTGTGTGTTGTTGTTTGTTTCACGTTAGTTTTTTCGAAAACGATAGACATCTTTTTGGGTAGGTCTACCGCGAACGGCGTGTGCCTTATACTCTTATGTGACATGAGCATTGTTAGACATAATTCGTTTTAAGGCTTTCTTTACACTCTCGGTTGGCTTTAGTATTGCCCCCATGCTACAAGGTGTACCAAGGCCGACTACGCATTACCTCGTGCTGAATATTAGCCATCCCATTAGAGGCTTCGATGATTTAGTACATCGAATCAGAATAGCATGCGCACTAACCATAATACAATTATCACACTGCAAATGCTCGGCAAGACATGCAATCGGCAAATATTCGTAGACCTTAGCCTTCGATGCATCACAGCGGCACAAGGCGCATGCGCCATAGTGGTCAATTGCAGATTTGACGTAAAAGAAGAAAAACGGCTTGTATTACATAACTTCGGCCGTTCAACAGGAACCCCGAGTAAATATTACTAACCACCACTACTCGTGCGCAAAGCCCTCTCATATTACTAACCCAAAAGCCATTTGAACAATTAGATAATTGGGGGAGAGGAGGAGGGTTGCATAAGTCCTCTTCCCCCCACCCCCCTCCCCCCATCCCAAAAGCACTTCACCTATAAAAAGAATATCACGCAACATCTCCTTTCAGTAAATAAAAATGTCCAGCACAATAAAATGAAAAATTGCGCGAGCGCTTCTCACAAATAAGAAATATCGTGCAAGAATTCCTGGAAACCCAATCACCCTTCCCCCTCAATTATCTAATGATCCAGCCCTTAGGTCATTTGACCGTGTAAAACTATGCAAGCAGGCCTGTTAAGGGGAAGTAAAAAAATGGAAAAATCGCCTTGCCTTAGTTAGACGGTGAATCAAGTTCTAGATAGCTCGTAATGATTATGTGATATAAGAGAAATATTCAATGAAAAATTGAATAGTTTGTTTCAAGTTTCAGTTTCAAACGTGTTTACTTCACAAACGCATTTTAAATAAATGAATTATTAATAATTTCCCCTCCAGGTCCGGTATCTTAAGAGTCGTGGGTTCTGATTGGCTGAACGAGTACTAGTGGGCGGTATTTTGCATCTGTGCCCGCGGTCCGGTATCTTGATGTAGGGCTTAAGTAATCCATACAAGCAAATAAGAAAACGGATTGTTCAACAACGAAACAACAAATAAGGTCCGTATATTAAAGGCTTCGGACACAGTTTTTCCTTATCTGAACCTCCGAGCCTCGGTAAAAAACATACCTGTATTAATATTCTTTTTTTTTTTTTTTTCGTAAATGAACACGGCCTACTTTAAAGTACAAGATATGCTGGAAAGCAAGAGCTTGCTGTCTAGAATATAAATAGTTAGAAAACTAGGAATTTATATAGTAGTCAAGAGTTGTTAACAGTCAAGTGAAGCTAAAAAAAAATATGACCAACCTCAATTAACTAAGAAGCAATCTATTTACAAAATTTATCGCTTTTCATATATGCGCGCTGATTCAATACAGCGCTTCTTAATTTGGTCTAGCGTGATGAGCTCGGCTACAGTAATACTCACGTAACTGGTTTCTAGATATACCAGTGATGAGAGTAGTTGATCAGCTGTAACTACAAAAGCAATGAAAGTGCAAACAAATGGCGCATAAAAAAGGATGGTAAAAATAAAAACTACAAATATGGTGATAAGCGATTTTCTGTATTTGGCGACATCAATGTTGGAACTTGGACGTGCACCTGCTTCTGCGTTTTGGACACTTGGAGATACTGAGGACGAGGTGATCTTTCGTAAGCTGTAGAAGGTCATTGAATAGGAAATAGTGATGGTTACGACTAAAACAAGAATTCCAACTCCGCATACTATAGTTAAAGCTGAAAAAGTTTCATCATTACAACTTGGTTTACCAAACACTGCTGCTAAAATAACACACGATATGATCCGAATATGTCATTAATTTTTAAAGTACACTTCTTTAAGTTATGACACTTTGATATCTGTTCCTTAACTTGACTGAAAGCAAACGATCCAGGACTATGACCGTCAGAGTTACCAGAGATATGACGCTGAATGCGATAAGCACACATGTTGCGCATTTTAAGAGTAGACAAGAAATATTTATTGACGAGCCTCTTAAGGCAGCAATATTATAAATGACCATGAGTGGTTCTCCAACGGCTCCGACGAGGAGATCAGAAAGAGCAAGACTTCCAATCAAGATGTAGGAAGGTTTGTGAAAGGATGTGGTCTTCCAGATGGAGAACAGGATCAGAAAATTTAAAACTGTTGCTACAGCAGAGTACATAGTAGACATTACCAATGGATGATTTGGGTTGTCATACTGGCTTCTTTCAAATGCGCAAGTCTCATCTTGAATGTCTCCCATTTTATAGGTTCCTCAAATTCAGTACTCTTTTCCTCTATTTCTCAGTCTTCTTGCTCTTTTTACGCTTTACTTGATTATAATAAGTAAGAACCTTCCCAAGAGAGTAATTTAATTTAGTATGGACTTTTTCACAGATTTCGCTGATCGGTTCCTTAATGTTGATCATCAAAC